AGTGGTTAAACTGCAATACTGCAGTAAAAACTTGGCTCACAACCTGGGTTCAGTCTCAGACAGACAGTTTGAAGTTCACTCAACCTTCCATCCTTTTGAGGTCGGCAAACTGAATACCCAGCTTGCTGGGGGGAGGGGCAAAGTGTAGCCTGAGTAATTAAATCATAAACTGCCCAGAAAGTGGTTTAAGCATTAAGGGGTGGTATATCAGCAGCAAGCTTTGCTATCTTTTTTTATTTTTTGAGGATGCCACCCACATGTGGGCTCTGTCCAGTCCCCAAATATTATTTCTTTTAAAAATTATTTTTATTTGAAAAAGCCCTCTAGTGGCAAAAAAAGAGAGTTTTTTCAAGATGTGAGAGGCCCAAACTTGTTGGGTAGCTCTAGTCTAAAACATCGAAAAATTGCTTCTCATACTCCCTAAATGGTATGAAGAAAAAGTTTAAGCCAAAATTATTATTTTAAAGAAACTTGTGTGGCTTGAGGTGCAGGTAATGCATTTCAATTTGCTAATCAGTTCCACTGCATGTGCCTTTTACAATGGCTCTAATCCACAAACTGGTGTTTGTGTCAGACTGCACAACTTGCCACAGCTAACTGACAGCACATCTCAGTTGTGTGTCTACTCACACATGCAGCAATGCAACAGAGATATATCTTGGTGCCTCCCTAATTAACCATGACAATCATAGAAAAGTGAAGTTGGAAGAGGCCTACAAGGCCATCAAGTCCAACCCCCTGCTCAATGCAGGAATACAATCAGAGCAGATCTGCCAGATGATTCTCTAAGTTTCTCTTGCATGCCTCCAGTGTTGGAGCACTCGCCTACTCCCGAGGTAACTGGTTCCACTGTCATACTGCTCTAACAGTTAGGATGTTTTTCTTGATATTCAACCGAAATCTGGGTTCCTTTAACTTGAGCCCATTGTTGTGTGTTCTGCACTCTGGGATGATCGAGAACAGATTTTGCCCCTCCTCTGTATGGCAGCTTTTCAAATATTTGAAAAGTGCTATCATATCACCCCTCACCCTTCTTTTCTCAAGACTAAACATGCCCAATTCTTTTAGCCTTTCCTCATAAGGCTTGGTTTCAAGCCCCCTGATCATCCTTTTCGCCCTCCTCTGAACGTGTTCCAATTTGTTAGCATCCTTCTTGAAGTGCGGTGTCCAGAACAGGACATAATACTCAAGGTGAAGCCTAATCAGTGCTGAATAGAGGGGGACCAGCGCCTCATGGGATTTGGAAACTATACTTCTATTAATGCAGTCTAAAACAGCATTTGCCTTTTTGGTAGCCACATCACACTGTCGGCTCATATTTAGCTTGTGATTCCAAGATCCTCCTTGCTTGCTGTTTTGCCGAGCCAGTTATCCTCCATCTTATAACTGTGCAATTGGTTTCTTTCCTCAAGATGCAGTACTTTGCACTTATCCCTGTTGAATTTCAGCCCAGTATTCCATCCTATCAAGGTCATTTTGAATTTTGTTTCTCTCTTCTAGGGTATTAGCTATTCCGCCCAATTTGCAGGTATGAGCTGCAAATCTGACCAGCATTCCCTGCACTCCCTCATCCAAGTCATTAATAAAAATATTGAAGAGCAGCAGGCCCAGGACTGAGCCTTGGGGTACCCCACTTGTTACCTCCTCCCAGTTAGAGAAGGACCCACTAATCATTACGCTCTGAGTATGATTCTGTAGCCAATTGTGTAGCCACCTGACGCTTGATCTATCCAGCCCACACCTAGTTAGCTTGCTAATCAGGATATCATGGGAAAATGCTTTGTCAAAAGCTTTGCTGAAGTCAAGATATACTACATCTATAGCATTCCCTTTGTCTATCAAGAAGGTGACCTGATCAAAAAACGAGATCAAATTAGTTTGGCAGGATTTGTTCTTGACAGATCCCGTATTGGCTTCTAGTTATCATTGCATTGCTTTCTAGGTGCTTGCACAATGACTGCTTTATGATCTGTTTCAGAATTTTGCCAGAGATTGATGTCAGGCTGACTGGCCTGTAGTTCCCAGGTTCCTCTTTTTTGCCCTTTTTGAAGATAGGGACAACATTGGCCCTTGTCCAGTCCTCTGGCACCACACCCGTTTCCCATGATTTCAAGAAAATAATGGATAGCAGTTCTGAGAGTTCTTCAGCTAGTTCCTTCACTACTCTCGGATGCAGTTCATCTGGCCTTGGAGATCTGAACTCTTTGAAGGTGCTAAGGTATTCCTTGAATATTTGTTTATCTATCTCCAGCTGCAAGTTAGATAACCTAATGGAAAAAAATCAGTTGGACTAAAACATCAAAAAGCATTTCTTCTGAAATTCAACTTAAATCTACCCTCTTTAATTTAAATCTATTCCATCCCTTTACTGAGTTCATCTTGGGATCATCGATTATCTCTGCTGCCTCCTCAGAACCCATTCTAAACAGTCTACGTTATTTTACGGAGCAGAATTGTTCGTTCATGTTGGTGACACAACAGTCCGTTCATGCAAGTAATTGGACAATTTCTGAACCTGTGTGAGGAGGTATTACCAGTTGTCATACAAGGGACTTCTACGTGAACAAACAGAAACAGAAGGAACAATTCATCTGAGATCACTTAGTAAGACATGCAAATGACAGCTCTCTTCATGTAGCTTAAAATTCTATCTGCCTTTTCTGCATGTGCTTTACAGTGCTGACTCATGTTCAACTTGACCAACAAGATTTTGTTCACATGTTCTTTTATTAAGCCAAGAATTCCCAATCCTATACTTGTAATTTGATTTTTGAGTTTTATTATTTGCCTCGATGCGGAACTTTATGTGTCTCTTTTGAATTTCATCTATTTAGCTTCACCACAGATTTCCACTCCATCAAGCTCATATTGAGTTATATGCCCATTTCACGATGTATTAAACAGTTCCTCCTAGGTCTGTGTCACCTGCAAATCTGATAAAGGATTCCTCAACCTCTTCCTCTGGGTCAGTGAAAAGAAATGTTGAGGCCCTGCAGCATCGCATGCAAAGCCACTGACTCAGATCAATGAAGAGCCGCAGATGAGCATTCCTTTAGGTTTTCTAACTAGCCAAAAAACTGCCCATTTCACGATGTATTAAACAGTTCCTCCTAGGTCTGTGTCACCTGCAAATCTGATAAAGGATTCCTCAACCTCTTCCTCTGGGTCAGTGAAAAGAAATGTTGAGGCCCTGCAGCATCGCATGCAAAGCCACTGACTCAGATCAATGAAGAGCCGCAGATGAGCATTCCTTTAGGTTTTCTAACTAGCCAAAAAACCCCACACTAGTGCTACCCTACTGCAGTGGTGGCAAACATTTTTGCACCCAAATGCCCAAACTGGGGGAAAAGGGAAAAGAAAAAACCAGCGGGCGTTGGCCGGTG